TACTTGAAACTAGTTTGAATAATGTGTTGGAATTTGTCTTCATCACCGTCTGTACTCGGCACGTAGTCACATGTATTGGCAAGTCCAAGTGATCAGTGACGTAGAAAATGATTATCGTGAGATTTACAGAACTGATTGAACAAAAGAAAGTTGAGAAATTAATACTGCTTCTAATGAGAGGGGGAAATCAATTTTATCTGTTGCATGCTATGAAGAAGATGTGCTGTTTGTATGACATACTGAGTAGAATATTCACTTTGAATACATATTCACCCCTCTGATCCATTTCACCGTCTAACACAATGTGGCATAAATGCAATATTACTTACAAAGGGACCGAAGATAACAAAGCCGATAGCCCGATTCATTCATTTTCCTTTACATTATTCTCCTTGAACTCACGCTTGACTTGACTTGGTATTGCAAAGATGCGAATAGAGACCAAGAAATGCCAATATGTATGAGTTAACTTCGTGATGTACTCCGAACATAGCTGCGCCCCCCCTCCGCCGCGAAGTGATTTGCTTTCACTAAAAATTTGATTTCGTCGTAGAGTATGGGCGAAGACACTCGCTGGGATATTTATACGTTCTTTCGACAACACCAAATCACCGCCAAGTTACCTATTAGATGAGGTAAGCTAAACACTAGATAGTGCTTTCAAAATGAATCAAACGAATGATGTGTCATAAGAAAAGCTTTTAGTTGCCGGTGGCTCAGAAAGAACAACCAGCAGCTCATTCATCTTTGTTTTGGATTAGTCAGCCATCGGTTCTAATTTGTGTTCCTAAAGGGACTTCAACTGGGAACCGTTGAGTGTTCAAGTCGAGGCTCACTCTTTGGAACTGCACTGTCGACCACTACCAGTATGTCCTATCACTTATGAAATCAAATGAGGTATGCGAAAATGGTAGTCGTTTACTCACTGACGTTGCCAAACGAAAAACCGTTTGGCTCAGGGTTTAGCGACTTATGTGACGACCATGAAAAGGATACCAATAGCCGCTTCTTAGCATGGAATGAACAGCTGTTTAGCGCCTTTGTAGGCCTTTATGTGAGTGCATTTCATTGAATTGTCTGTCTTAAGTGAATGAACAGTGGCGACATGCTCACAATCTGGACACAAATACCGTTCACCGTGCCCTCGAAGAGTGTGAAAGAGAAAGAACCTGTCCAAACTTAATCATCTCAATTATATACGATCTGTCTGCCTGTTCTCGTGCTGTTTGCGGTCTCACCCCTTGGTACTTCGTGTGTTTCTCGTACATGAATTTGTTTTATACATCCACAGTGGAATGTTGTCATGACAGGAAGAGAGTACTGTTTCACCGTTCATGAATCTCATCCCTATCGCATGCGATTCACCTTATCTGCCGAGGTTGGAGGCGTAAAAAGTCGAAAAAGGCTTATGAAATCCTGTCAACTTAGTTACTCTGAAGAGGGCCTGACACAAGAGGACTTGAGAGTGGTTCAAAGCATCCTGAAATATCGAAACACAAAAGTGATCGGAATAAGGTTGTATTTACTCAAAAACAAAAAGAAAACCATAGATGCAAATTATACTACTGATTGTTTTATCTTCTTCCGTAATGAGTCGGTAGACCAGGATTGATTACACGAACTGCAAAGAATTCAGTTGTGCGCGGAGTCCAGGGACTCGATCGATTGCATGAGTCGGGAATGCAGCATCCTGGATTCTCAGAAGTGCGTCAGATGCACCAAGAACGGAACGAAATGACCCGAAAATATGGCAAGCCGGAGTGAAACTACTCGCCACACATACACACATCGAAGCCTCTGAGTATGGTCGGGTTTGGGTTTAACGGGTACGGCTGGTCACTCTTCCCTTGCACCTCGTGAAATGCTCCCATACGACCAAGCGTCTCAAAAAGCCTTTGCTGAGGAAGCCCTGCTCATTGTCTTCCTGTGGTGGAGGTGCTTTCTCACCATAGTGGGGCTATAACCGGGTTGGTGGACCACTGGCAGTTCGCCTAGCAGAGTTGGCCAAAACCCCTCATTCCAAACCATCCAAGAGGAGGCGAACAAACCACGCGCACCTTCCCGGTAGTGGCTGTGATCACCGGATCGNGTATTGGTCGCTTTGGACGTTTAATCCCGTCCAAAGGGTCTGATGAACTGGACACCGGCCACGCTACCTTGCGGATCAGGTTTTGGTTAACCGAAGGCTCCGATTGTGTCTTCATCAAGAAATTTCACCTGCCTTGGCCTGGGCAACCTGGCAGTATCCCACCCACATGCAAATCATGTAACGTTTTTTTCATAAAGATTATCGTACCATGATTTTTTTGGCATGCATTTGGCTTCAGATTGGTGGCGCTACACTTACACGTTCTCCGTTACATTGTGGAAATTTTCACGATGTCGTTCTCATCATTGAACGCGCTCCTAATTCCGTTATATTTCATCACGCTTACTGCTATTCAACTATACCATATCTTGCTCGTGTACTCATAAACAAAGAGTGGACAATAAGTAAACTTTGTCTTAACCTTGGATTATGCAATGTCCCCATGTCTGTAAAGAATTTTTCTCCCCGTTGATTAAGTATATTGTGACGTCAGTGTGTACGATGTTTTAACTGAAATATCAGCTCCAGTGCTTGCAAACGTTATACACAATACACTATATATATATATACATATATATATACATATATATATACATATATATATCGAAGTGTTGATAGCCATCACAGAACAGCGTGACTATCACTCTCGTAATGTGAAATTCTGCTGTTGCGAAAATTCAGAATGATATACACGCATGACCCAATTTTATCACTGTGACAGTACACTCACTGTTCAGACCAACTCACTTTTAATTTTGTCATAAATACGCAACAAGAACTGCGTGTCGTGAAAATGAGTATCCAGCAAACTTAATGCCTGATCCGTGGACCTGAGCGACAACATTTGAGCGAATTGTTTCTCCACATTGCCGAATCCGGTCGGCGAATCCTCTTTTTCGTCACCGTCATCATATTTCTCCTTAGAAAGAAATTGTAAACCATTAGTTATACCCCGGGGGATTNATTGGTTACCTCATTCTGAGCCATGTCGTTCGGCGGTGCAGATTGGATGGTTGTTCGCACAGTGAGCGGACATATGTCTTCGGAAGGTGACGACCTCAATGCATCCAGAAGGCATGCTTCCGCATTTTTTCCGGTNCACCGACCTTGCTGTCTCATTCGCAAAGTGTCCAGACAGCGCTGTAAACGATCGAGCAATTCGTGCAGTTTTTGATTTTCTATTCTCTTCTCCAATAATTGCGGAACTTGCTGGGTACGTTTATTGTGCAGTTCTTCCTGTGTGTCGGTGCAGAGAGTGTAAGGAGGTTGAGCCCGGGGATGGGTGGATGGTGTTGAATACATCTTCAAGCAAACATCGGCACAACATTTGGTGCATATATGTACAGTTACGTTCTTCAAATTGTCCACGGTTTAAAATCAACAAGGATGGTGATAAATCCGTGATAAACCCGTGATATTTGATTGGATCATTAAAAAAGCAATTCTAAATAATAAAAAACGGTTAAACTTTGACAAAAGTCCCTTTAAACAAAGTTACAGGTGAGAGCTCTTTTATACCAGTCCGCTCAGATTGAACTCAACTGTTTCGCGTTATCTCTTCAGTTGCGTGTACAATCAGTCAAGTGAAAGTCCGGTCAGGACAATGAATGACAAATCACATCACACATCAAAAACACCGCTTAGACAAAATTAATGTGAAGGTTAAAACTGACCAGTCTCACTCCGGTTGAACGACGGGAATCAGTGGGAGAACATGATTGTCGGTCAGAACCATGGTGACAGACCTGCGCATGGCAGGGTAAGGTTGGCCACTAAGTCTAGTTGTTTGCCGAGGTCTGGTGTGTGTGTGTGTGTGACGCAGAATACCTTCGGTCTCAGCAAACCGTAACAACCGGCCAGTTTCCTGTTATCTTAACACCCGGAATGCTTCCTTCGAATCGATGCAAAGTTTGCACTCTCTAATGTGGCGGGCAACAGAGCTGGAGGGAGGGAATCTTCGAGTCGTTACACGCTAAAATTCCCGGGACATGGTCTGAGATCCTAGTGGTCAAATGTCTCTTAGGTCTTCCGATTTCCTTACTAGCTCAATTGCATTAAAATAGGCAAACACTCGAGGCGGTAACTTGAGAGTTCAGCTTGTCCAAGTTGGATTCAGTAATCGTTCGTCTGCTTTTATGGAGAATAATCAGAGAAGCGGTGTTGTACGTTCTTGAAGGAGCTTGTTTCAGTCGACGCAGTGTCAGTTTCTCCCCTGAGATCACCTTTAAACGTTAATGTGATGGAAATGTTTCTCCTAGTTCTAATCTCTGTGTTATCGCCATACTTGACAATGAAATTCCGGAGATATCCATTATTCTGTAATGCACAGGATAGTAGTTCAAGATAGCTTTAAACGTTTTTGGCAGATCAAATTCACTTCACCCTAGACAATAGGCTCACTTAAATCTTTTCGGACAGACGCTTCCGAAATTCAGGTACTGTTCAGTGTTTATTCCCTGGCCACATGAGCTCAAATAACAGGATCGTTGTGAAATTTCCGCTAGATGCACGCAAACACTGGAGATTCGTTCCAGTCAGCATTGGAACGCCTATTGAAACAAAGTGTAATAATACATTTTACGGCTAAGAGGATACATTTAATCTAAACGGAAGAAAAATCGGTTTGATTGTACTAACTCAATTCTAAGTCGGAAGATACATTAAATGCAGTATGCGATCAGCTCCGCTTTATGTTTGTGAGACCTTAAATTTGCGCGTGGAAGATATTCGTCGTTTGAAAGTGTTCGACTAGCGATTGCTATGTAGTTTGGCGCGGGTTGAATGGAGCGAGCTTGTAAGCAACTCTGAGGTAAGGCGTCATGTATTTGGTAATGAT